AACTAGTTTAACGAATTTTTAGAAAAATATTTTAGGTCATTTCCATCTTTCCCTGTTGATATTGGTATATTAAAATATATGGAATAATTAAGTTGCATCTAGTTAGTAAAACAAAACATTACGAAAAGTATGATGCGACATATTTTTAATCAATATAATTACTTCATTTTGGAATTATAACATTTTCGTAAGAAATTAATACCATTGAAAAAAATAATATTATTACACTAAAGAATAAACGAGATTCTCGACCGCGTTGTTCAAGTTTTTGTAATTTTACTTCATAACACACTCGTACATAAACATATTAGACTGAATTATAAACCAAGTATAATTAATTAGGTAATCCTAGAAAAAGAATAAACTAAACCTAGTAAGCAAAAAATATATACATTACATTCAGAATTCTAAATGTTTACATAAACTTTTCTCGCAAGGCCTGCCGGGAAAAAGATGTCAAACGTTCTTTGGTCAGACGATTGCAAACGAACGCTAACATGATTAATTTTGTTTTCAACAACCACATTACCGTTTCAATTAAATACCACAACAGTGATTAAATTTTGGAATAATTAGTTATAAATAATAATACGGGCAATTTAAGGCGTAATTTATCGGATGCACAATGACAAAATACTACTATTAGATCTGCATTTGGAATAAATATTTTGCACTCTTTCAACTCATTAGACATTACGAACACTGATATTAATTAATCGCAAAGCTTAAACGTTTAAATACTTACTCACTACATATAACAGTGCAAAGTGCATGAGAATAATCTGCATAAAATGAACAAAAAATATTTCAAACAGTAATTGTAAACATTTTCTTACTTACCTGCGCTATACAACCAACATGCATTCAGCCATGTTTTTTCTGCAACTAGCTTTCAAACACTTTTCTCCTGATTGGCTAATTTCCAGTCAGTCACGTGATTCTTCCGCGCGGCTTCTGAAACATTATCTGTAATGCTACAGGCAAATCAGCTGTACCCGCCACAGTTTGCTTTCAACCTGTTACCATTACAAGAAATTCTTGTGTAACTTTTTGATTTCTGTAACTTTACAAAACTTTTGCCTGTAAAGAGCGAACTTTTTTTTTACAATGTACGCATGGGGAAAACCACGAAATCGCCCATGCACCCAGCCCGTTCGAGGGATTCGAACCTCGGACCGACTACCAGTGTTCAGCGTCTTTACCGCTCGGCCGCTGGCGGGCTGGTATTTTGATTGATTCCTGTATGTAACTGTAACTTCATCCGGCCCTCATATGCTTTCCAGTGTTCGAGAAGTGTAGTTCCAATGTTTCGAAAAGTGAAGTTCCAGTGTTCGAGAGTTACCATATTTCGAGAAATGGAAGCTACTAAAGATTTCTCGGCGGCCAGGAAAAACTATATAAGATCGGAAAGAGCATCAATTTCTCAGTTGTTAGTTCAGAGCGACTTCGGAGTTTTGAGATCTCCGTGAGAACTTTGCGTTTTAGATGCGCTTTACATCGCGCTGAGTTAAACGTTCTCAGTAGTTTGTAGTATAACTGCTGATTGTTCTCTGTGATACTAGGAAGAGCTGTTCGAGTGCTTTTGTGAAAAGTTCCAAAATTCTAAGGTGCTCTTTTTGATAAAATTAATTTCATCAAGCTATCATCGGTTCTGAGTCCATTCAATCTATTACGAATCCGTATGCATGCAACAATATTAATTGTGCTTCGAAATTTAATTGAAACCGTTAGGAAAAAATTATTAAATCAAGGAATCTGAAAGCTAGTTATTTCCGAATATTTAAAATGATCTACTTCATTGTTTCTTTCTTTAGAAGTTATACGTACTTCATACCGCAAACAAATATTATCAGCATACTGTACGCGAAAATGAGGAATAGTGGTATCTGTCAAAAGAGTGAATTTCATGTACACTATTCTTTAAATGATGACGGGATATATTATTAAGTAACTAAGAAAGTTTTTGCGGTTTTCGTCAACTCATTAAAAAGGGCCCACGAAAATCTTAAACACCCATTTCATTCTTTGAAATAGTCACCATTGCCTTCAGCTACATGTTGCCAACGAGATACAAGCTTATAAATACCCTTTCTTGAAAAAAAATCTTGTTTTCTGAAGTCCAAAAATTGTGGTACAGCTTTTGTGACATCATCAAGCTTTCAGAACTGCTTTTCCGCAAGTGGCTATCCATGACCAAAAATAGGTAATAGTCAGATGGAGCGATGTCCGGGGATTAGAAACATTTTGGCAGAACTTCCCCCAGTTGAACTCCCAGCCCAGTTGTTTTAATCACCTCTTTGAGCGTTTTTGCCGTATGAAGTCTGGCATTATCTTGGAGAAGTAGAAATCCTCTTCTGTTGACCAGTGCAGCTGAAACTCTTTGCAGTTATGATTTTTCCGCTTTGTAAATGGAATATGCCAGCTCTGGTTCACCAAACACAGAGGATTACCTTCTTTTAATGAATGCCCCGTTTAGGGGCCAATGAAACCGAACCAAATGTGGACCAATTATGTTTCCTATTCCGATTATCATACATGATCCATTTTTCGTCACATGAAGATTTGGTCCAGGAACGAGTCTTTATTTTGGCGCGACAGCAAAGGCAAGCAAATGTTCAACCTCTGGAGCTTGTTCTCCTCCGATAGGATATGAATAACCCACTTGATTAGTTTCCATGTCATCCCAAGGTTATGAAGATGTGATCGAATTGTTTCATCGGATACTACAAACCTGTGTGCAAGTTCCTGGTGGGCTTGATGAGGATTCTAGTTGATTTGATCCTGCAGCTAGACCCTGCCGAGGGTGGATGGACGACCAATAAGAGGCTTGTCTTCAAGGCTGTCGTCTTCAGAAGAAAATCGGCTGAACCACTTTTGAGTAGTTTTGAGTAGTCCGTTCACTCACTAATGTCTCTTCAAGCACGGAGCATATTCTTTTAACTGCCTCTGCATCTTTATTCCTAAATTTGTACTCGTAAAGCAAAATAAGCCTCAAAATCTCTTTTTCCAACGACAGTGTTCTTTGAAGATTGCGCTTCCTGCAAAACCGATAGCGAAACTTGCTATGCATTAAACAACTCTCTACTGAATAAGGTTTGAAAGGAGTGTACACGTATGATGTCATCAGAATCAATCTGACCACACTAATGCGCCAAAAGTAACTGATCTAAAAAACCCCACGAACTTACTTGGTTACCTGGTACTTGTTTCTAAGCGTTACCAAAAAAAGAATATTAAAGCTATATTGAACAACATAGATAAATGTTATTTCAACCTTTAATATAAAATTACTTCGTGTGGGTTACTTGAAGTGGTCCTACCATTATAGTTTCGTTCTGCTGTAGGTTAAAAATTCACGAACCTTATATGGATATGAATCATCAATACTCTTTATTCATCTTGAGGAAGGCATTCCATATCCACACAGGCAAATGGAAAGTAACTTTCTTAGCTTGATATTTATGATTCTAGCTAAACGAAAGCAAAATAGCCTCATAAAGCTGGTGGAAAAAATGAAAAATAGTTGTTCTGTCTCTTTTAGTTATGTTTTTATCAAACGTATTAATGATTTTAAAAAAATCAGATCATTATAAAATCATGATAAAGAAAATACTTACAGAACTTTCATTGGAACCGGCAATATAGCAGAGTCTAATTCTCAGGTTGATGATGAAAATAAAAAACACATTCATTCCAGTACTAAGAAAAAATATTGTAATAAAATCGAAGAACTAAAAATAATTAGATTAAATTAAGAAAACATTCACACCTCAAATCTGACACCCGCCAGGTGATACAAGGTGTTTTTCAAAAGGATTTGATCAATCTCGCTTATAACTATGAAAATAAACAGCTATTTAAAATGCAATCAAAATAATTGCTTATAATTTGTCTAAAAAAATCAGAAATAATCTTACGTCGGTATTAATGTCCGTCATGGGCCTGTCGGGATCTTCAAATAGAGTTCTTATGGCCACATCGTGATCTTCTAATCAATAAAAACTTTTAAATCAAGAGCGTTTTCAAAAATCGAAAGGGAAAACGTAATCGAATAAACTAAAATTCGCTAAAAGCAGAATTACTTGCTTTGAACTCAGAAGTTGTAAAAGCTCTTTTAGATTTTAGTTGTAAAACTGGCATTCACAAAGCAAACACAAGTGTAGTAATCGTTATAGTTGTCAAGATAAAAAACTGGTACTTTTCCGTTTTGCCGGCGCAAGCGATAAACTCGCCAGTAATGGTACAACCGATGTCAAACGAAATATCCTCGCTGGTAACCTTTTACTTGAACTTTTACATTTTCAAAACAAATCGCAGCCATTTCTTATCAGATTGATCGTTTCTTTTAATACTGGCATAGAATTACATAGAATTTTTACCAGCTAGTTCAATTTTATGTCCTAAGGTCATTCGCGGGCGGTAATTAAGTCAATTAGGATGAAATCATACCGCTCACCCGATGGCGAAAGTATAGAAAAGGCAAGGCAAAGTCAAGAGTTATTCAATTCTTATTAAAATGCACTAGCGAAGTAAAGTACTGCGGTTTTACAAAATTTCTGAGTAAGCTATTCGAACGAAAAACTAATTTCTTAAGTCGTCTTCAAAGAATATTATCCAGTGTCTCCTTAATCCACCTATTTATGGCACGGTTAAACTCTCAAATCGAACATCAGTAACAGCTTTTTCAAATGTGGAAATAGAAATGTGGAAACGGGGCTCATCGCAGGAGTTGAAAAATTTCTGATGTTTTCACATCATCTTTCCACAAAAAGAAAATGAGAATGAATGAGAATGAGAATGATGAATTCTCTTCGTACTTCCATGGTTGCAAAAATGCGTCACTATCAGTCAAACAACTGAATGGACTGAACAATATTGCACGGGATAACTGCATAAACATATCCTGATTTTTCTCTGGCCGATGGCATTGCGGAAGCTCTAGGAAATGAAACAGAGAACTCTGGAAATAACTTACGTACATGTAAATCTGATCTAAATTCTTCTATTTGATAAATATCTAATTGAATCCATTCTCTTTTCAAAGGTTGTGTATGTAGCGTGCGAGACGAATGATATAATAATTTTGGATCCCACCTGGTTGTGTGGCCCCATTTTGGGATATTTACTGTCTCAAGAGAATCTGGATCGAGCACGGTTTACAGGAATTTATTCAGCGGACGATGTACAGCTGCTGTTTCCCGAAGCAGATGGTCAAAAGCTCTTACTGGTAACAAATTTACTTACTTATGTGAGATACAATGATAGATACATTAATTTTAGAGATTACTGATATTGTTTGTGAGAAGTTTGTTGATACTGATTGTTGGTAATGATTATTGATATTACTTGCGAGTTTTAATATTCATAAATTATTTTACCTACTTTAGTAAACTAATTGCAAATCGCGGACATTCTATTTTCTCAGTCCTATCTAAAAATATACAAAAAATTGGCAAAAGTCACACACATGTCCAAAATTAGATCGCTTCATCAAAATCCAATTAAAGATGCAAATGTTCAGAATTCTTTGCAATTAGATTCGCGTTTGATCAGTCTTATCAATGAGTCATATTGATATGTTATTAGGGTCCCTCGAGTTTATGATAGTTGTAGACGATAACCATAAATTGCCCTTAGATATTTTTCATTAATATCTTACACATTAATTACGTAATATTACATTTCCGGAAAGTTGCATTTCCCATTTTTGGAATATTACTTAGCTGTTATTTATCAATTTCTGTTTCAATTGTAACACACATAGTGATGTCTGAGCTAAACTATTATAAGATTTAACCCACAGTAAATTGAAATCTGTTGTTAATTTCACTTATTTTACATTCTATATTTTACAATTATTTATATTTATTTATAATAAAGATAGCGCGAGAAAAACGAGGGCTTTTATTAATAGTGCCCGGTCATAAAGGTCACACCATTATACAGATCATTTTCTAACTAAATAGAAACAAACTTTATTAAGGTGTAAGCCCAGCTAAGCAAGTAGAAACTTGATTTGCTTTGCTGGTCATACTAGCAGACTTAACCCTATTTGCATGGCAGTACCTAAGCATAAAGGTTGCTTTTTTAGAATTTGAAGCTGATCTGAATTAAGAGTGCGGGCATTTTTACGCCACTTCATGAAGTACTCATATGAAGATTTCTGTATTTTCAAACAGTGGCTGACTTGCATTAACTGACGATCGCTTCATGATTCTTATGATGAGTTCCCATAATTACGTGGCAGGTATTCCGTTTGGATGAAATTTTGGGCTTTTGTTACTTTTCATATTGAATTACTTGACATGATAGACAGTGCTGAATAAGTCATGTGGTTAGACAATTCGTTAATGCATAGTATACGCACACGATGCCAGTCCCAAACCTAAAGAAAGAGATTTATCTGCAATTTAGTTTAAAGAAAATTTTTCATGTAAATCAGAAAAACGCATTCAACGATATTTTAAAATTTCAAGAACAAAGCGTTCTTGGAGAAGCAGAGTAAGCTTATAAGGAATTATCGCCTTTTTTTTTCCACTCTGTTATGACACTGTGGACTATTTTACGTTAAGTAACCAATTATTGTTATTTAAACCTTTACTAAAACTTCTTCTTTCTGTAGTCCTCAGCAGAATTCAAATTAGATGGTATAGATTTAAGTCGAGAGTTTGAATGTTTTGTACATGGCATGTTTTTAAAGTAAGTACCATTTGGAAATAAAAAAGAAACAAATAGAATTTTCTTATTAATTTTATTTTTATATGAAAGCCTAAACCTCAGTTCATTTTTCTACATAATTTCCTCCAATATTAAGGCACTTACTTTATCGTACAACCAGTTTTTGAGTCCCCTCTTTATAGAAGTTTGTCATCTAATTTGATACCCTCTCCAACACGGTCGTTTTGACCTCATCTTCATCGTTGTGACGAAGACCGCCCAGATGCTTCTTTAAATGCAGGAACAGGTGGTAGTCACTGGGCGCTAGATCGGGGCTATGAATAAAATTGTTCTTAGAGAAATGACGCGATGAGATCTTGAGTTCGTTTAGCCACGTGTGACAGGCATTGTCGGGAAGCAAAACGATCTGCCTGCTCAGCATGTCATGTCTCTTGTTTTGGATTGCACATTGCATTCTGTGTAAGGTCTCAAAATATAGCGTAGAACTTATTTTGCTGAGGCAAAAAATTCCCAAGCAGCACCCCCTTTTTGTCCCAAAGCACAGAACACGTGATTTTCCGAACTGAAACTGTTTGCTTGAACTTCACTGTCTTGAGTGATGATCAATGCCGCCATTCCATGGATTACTGCTTCGATTCTGGCGACCCAAGATTCGTCGCCTGTAACAATTTGGCTAAAAAAATCATCACCATCCTCACAGTACCACTAAAGGAAAGCTAAAAGCACTATTTAAGTGTTTGATTTTGCGCACCTGTTTCAATATTTTCGGTATCCAGCGTGTGCAAAATTTTTCATAATTTAAGCGTTTGCTCACAGTTTCATACAGAACACTGCAGAATACCCGCGAAAAGTCATCAGATAATGACGAATAGAAATTTTGTGTGGTAAACATGTTTACTAAAAGGCAACGTTTTGCACATATTTGGTATCTGAATTTCTAAAATAAGTGTTTTTTTAATCCCCTTTTTAATTTCGAAAATTTCCTTTCTGGCGTGATTATAGACATTGCCATGCACAATTTCTTAGTGCAACTGACACATTTTGTTCCAATTTCCTTACCGTACATGTACTGAAGTACGTCCGCGTACTGAAGTATTGGCAATTTAGGATAATGTGTCAGTTTATGATTATGTGCATAACTTTCCATTTAACAGCAACACGGAAAGCCCCTGTACATCTGAGTTCCGTTTCAAAACACTTAGAGCATATGCAAAATTTTAAAACCGCTGTAAAACTTCCCTTATTTTTTAATACATTTTTAGACTCTATTTATTTTTTGTGGTTGGAAATTCAGGAATTTTTGTCAGAATCAGTTAGCTGGAGTTTTATTTCGATTTCACTACAGCAGTTCACTCTGTTCTTTGTATCATTACATTACACTGTTATTCCCCAAACCCATTGCCCTTTTGAACGTTCTTTGAAAATTTATTTAATTCGCTTTCCCGTAGCTGCGTTTTCTTCAACAATCCATCTCATGCTTTCTTTTTCTGTGAATCTGATAAATATTTTCTGTCTGTGTAGGATACGTGCTTTGTTGATACACGGGTACAGTATGTACCGCGGGGGGCCTATCTGACGCTCGTATCTGTTGTCGGACGCTAAACTGGCTTAGATCTAAGGTTGCACTTGTTTCTGGCTTAGACTGTAAATCCTCAGAGCCTTGCCCTGTAAATGCTTCTATCATTGTTAAAAGTTTATAATTATGACTTAGTCATATTTAAGCAGTAACGTGAACCTACATTTTAAAACAGCAGTAACTAGTAACTGACTAATTGACTTTATATTACATGCATCGAAATTTTTGTATTTCTATCGATAAATTTTATTTGAACTGTAAAATTCGATTGTTCGAAAGTTTATAGAGTTTGATTTGCTTTGGGAGCATAAATAACTTTTTTATTCAACTCAACTTGGAATATAAATGCACTTCTTGTTCTCACAGAAATCAACCACCATTTGTGGCGATGTAACCAAAGTAACATTGAAATTTAAATTAAAACGTAGGCTAGTAGTCAAAGACTGCACAAGTGAATTTAAATTGAAGTTGGTCAAAACTCTAACCGGCAGAACAGTTTAAATGTCGGCAGACAGTAACGCACAGCCGAATAATTACAAACTTATTAGAGATGGCAGAACTAAAGTAAGGTAGCCTCGAGAGGCAGAAATACACTCTGCCTTACAGTCCATAAACATCAGCTTAAATACTCTCCAACTCGTTTACATTTTTTGTGAGCAAACTGAAAGGAGGACTTATAGTAAAGAACTGAAATCATAAATAACTGATTAATGCAAAATAATAGTAACCTTATAATTTTACTGAAATAACTTTCAAGGAAATTGCAAAAAAATAAGTGTGAAGAATCTGTGACTGGCTTTTATAACTTTTTTTTTTATGATATAGTATATCTTTAAATGGTAATAAGAGTCTTGCAATGAAATTTGAAGTAAATATTCCCTTTTAGGTCTTAGAAGCCTTACAACTGTGCACTGAATGCGAATCAGAAGGTGATATTGAATACGAGTTTCCTTGCTTTAATTTAGTTGAAACACTAAAAGGACTGTGGGAGCCAGCCCCCTCACAATACGCAGCTTATGGTGGAGTCAGGCTGTTCAGCAAGCACAAACATTTACTAGGTTCACTGTTCTCTAGATTACAGGTATTGCTGCTAATTTTAGTATAGAATTTTTAAGCATTATACTCTTCATTTTATAGGGTGCTGTATCAAGAACCTTAAATAGAGCTTTTGGCGTTGATCAAGGTTAGATTGACGAGAACTAATGAAAGATATTGCCAAACTTTGAAAACGATTGTCGATAACTTCTAGAAATTTAATTCCTTCGTGACGAAAAAGTTTGAATGCTTTTGTTGTTTTAGACTAGTGATTTTCACACCGATAATATAACAGTTAGTTGTACAAAGTTTTAGTTTATTTCCGTGTCCTTGGCTACTAGAACTTTAGTGAACTGTCGAGCGACTATTCGCTGGTCTTCTTGCAGCTATAAAATATAAGTCCAAAGAAGGGTTAAAATACCTTTTTATTCACTCAAAGAAATATTACAGTTATTCCCTCTCAGGCTTACAGGAAAGCCTCCACTTGGGCTAACTAATTCTAACTAGCTAAACTGTAGCCGAAGCTGTGCAGAAATAACTAATCGAGTTGGCCCGTAATTTCAACCTCACCGGTGAAGGTACGTAAGACTATGGCTAAAAGTAATAAGATAGCCTCAAAGCAACGACGTGGCCCAAAGGAAGAACACGCTTTACTGAGAACTTCTGAGCTCTTCTACAGGAAGTGACTGAACTTCCCATTAAATACTCGTTCTACTTCATTTACATAAAATGTGATATTGAAATCTCATTCTGGCAGGGAGTTGTAGATGGAAAACAATAATTTAAAGGAAAGGGTTTCAAAATTAAAGATAGCTGTTAGAAAATTAAAATAATCCTTACAGATGATACCAGGGGCGTAGCTAGAGGGGGCAAAGGGGGCATTTGTTTTCCATCCTTGTCAAGCAGTACGGGGCGCGAAATCTTCAGTTGTCCTTGGGCGCTGAAAACCCTAGCTACGACTCTGGATGATACTAAAATTATGCAGGATGGAACTAGGTCTCGAGAGTCGATATGAAGAATATAAAATGTTTTAACAACAGCAGGGTATCCAAGAAAATACAGTTACCAGAATCATCATATTTAATTGATCGGGCTACTTTTTGCAAGAAAAGCTGTTTTGTACCAACAGATTTCAGTACAAACAATGAAAGCGAAGTAAGCGTAATTAGATAGTTTGAATAAAATAGCTGAGAAAGAATTCTTTTGCATTTAAATTCATCTTTTTTTTAAACTTCTATATCTAACATATTTTCAATTGATCAATTGAAAATTAGGTAAAAAAAAAAACAGTCTTAGATTGATGTAGATTGTGAATAAAACGTTAATGGTTATCGCCTGATGGAGATTCCTCATTTTCAGGTACAGAAACATTATTGAAAAGGAGCGAAGACTTTTCTTTATATAGTGAAATCAATTTTAAATGAGCATGTTTCTTTTTTGATTAGATCTTTTGTTGTCACCAGTTTAGTTTTGATTTAATTTAATTAATTAATTTATTTAAATTTCTGTCTTTAGAATCTTATTTGCAAAAACCTGATGTCTTCTAAGCTGCAGTTAACCAAATTTTAGTTCGTATAAGATGCAATTTTGAACAGTGTTTTACCATTTCTCCGTCTCTTCCCGAAAAAGTTGTTTTAGTTCGTAGTCTATATCAAAGGTTATTCTTGCAGAGGAAAGTATTTCATCAACTAGCACATCACTTTGCCACCCAGACGGGACAGTGGTTAGTTACTCTGACTGCCGTACCGAAGAGCTCAGCTCGAATCCCGCAGAAATCATGTATGTTTCTAAATGTACAGAGTCTTTGCGGCGTGGGGGCACTTTAAAAGTATAGCGAGCCAAAAGCCTCTCGTGTGGTTTGGTGGTAGAAAAGAAGGGCGGAAGACCCTCGAATCACCTTTCATGGTGCTGTCCCTCAAAATCGGGGTGGAAGTAGAAGTCCAATCTTTAGACTCTGGCAACCATTCTTCTATGAAATATAGACTCGACAACAAACAAACACACACATCACTTTGAAAATTTAGACGACTTCTATAAAAATACGGCTCTAACATTCACAAAATTCCTTAGAGAGAAAAACGTAAGCATGTAATTTCAAAGAAAGATTAATTAATAATGCTAGATATTTAAGCTAACCGATGTAAACAATGTTGAAATCCTGATTAAAAGTGAAGAAGCTTTACTGATACTGCGGTCATTTCTTTGATTCAGGTGCACTTACGACGATCTTCAAAAGAACACGCAGATCCAGAATGTGATCTTTATCAATGGTGCCGGGGCAGCAAGTTTTGTAGCGGATTATTGGAAGGTCTGATAACACTGGATGATAAAGGCACAGCCTTCGAAGTTAAAGTCAGAGGACCAACTTCCATGAGATCTGAATGGTACTTAATATATACTTTTTTAATTAAAACTGATTTTATGAATAAAAATTGACTATGTTTTTCATTAATCCCTATGCAGTTTACTTATGAGTTCTAACTATACAGGGAAGTACTATAACTTCCCTGCATAGTTATAAAGCTCATTGTATAATTATTGCACAAAATGTCGTAAACATCTAGATGGTATTAATCAATGCATAAATCGACGCTCTAAAGCACGTCTATCATATTTATGTAGTCAGAAAAAGAGTTTTGTTTTTCGGAATTTAAACCAAATATCATAATCAATAAAATAACAATAGCTGATATAAAATCCCCCCCTTACTATAATTAATTTGGTTATCATCCTTTTTTTCACGAAAGTAATGACATACCATATAATGAGAATAGTATTAAGTATATGGGGCAAAAAAAACTTTCATTATGAGACACTGAAGAAAATTTATTAAATTCTAGCCGGACAATTCATGTTTGTATTTATTATAGAGCCATTTTGGATACACAGAATTTCTAACGTCAAAACGAAAAATAAAGTAACAGTAAATTAAATTCAAAAGACTAACTTGTGTAGAAAATAGGTACGGGTTGTCTGATGAATAAATGGATTTTATTAATATTCCAGAAGTGGTTTTATGTTTCATAGTCTTTAAGTCTATTAAGAAAACTGTCCAACAGATACTATAACCTATTAACTTCTTTTCTGTAGAACTTTCTCTGCGAAATGGTAAATCTCTGAAAAATTAGGTGTTTTATATTTTTATGACTTTTAACTTTGACTCAACACATGGTGCCGGATAAAACAAACAAAAAAAAAAAAAAAATCCAAACAAATCAAATTCATAATATATCATAAGATCAATCATATAGTGGTAATGGGTTAGTACAATAGGGCGCGTTGTGAAGCCCACTAGGTAAACAATAATCCAAATTCAATAAAAACTCCATGTTTCTTAAAAGCCTCCGGGCTCAAACAAATGGAGGGACATGACAGACCACCCAAGAAAATAATACACACAAGATAAATAAATGCAATAAAATTATAAGACAAACATTTATTAATTTCTAGAATATCCAATTTTAGATAGCTGGCCAGACTACCATTACATACAATAGTTATTAATATTATACATTATGTATCAATTTAAAGGTTCATTTATCAAGATCAAATTTCCAAATTAACATACAACTCAATTTCAAATTCTCTTTAAGGTACAAAGCAATTTTCTCATTATTAAACTAATTTTCCCATTATTAAATTAATTTTCCCTTTACACTAAAATGCATAATTAGTTAACTTTTTCCGGCCAAGTAATCTATGATTCCTGCAAATAATAATAATAATAATAATAAAGTAAGGAACTCACAGTTAGTAGTCAGGAAAAACCTTTGTCACTCGGACCAGAATTTACGATAACTTCTAGAATAAGTCCCTTATTGCTGAGTGAAGTAGAATTTCCCGCATCACACTGCTTTAGCCGGATTATTAGAGTTTGTAGTCGGGCAAAACCTTCGACACTCGGACCAGAATTTACGATAACTTCTACAATAAGTCTCTTATTGCTGAGTAAAGTAGAATTTCCCGCATCACACTGCTTTAGCCAGATTATTAGCCGAAACTCGACGAAAGACGACACCAGTAGATTTTACCGCATCATACATCTTTAGCCGGATTATTAGCTGAAACCCGCACCGCACCGGATACTCCTCACGGATTTTAAAATGATTCGCCTTCAACAGCATATGTTCATAACAGCAGAGAGTTCTCGAAGAATAAAGAAGATACCAGAAGTAATTAGTGCTAAAAGTTGTAGGTAAAGTACTCTTGGAAATTAGTATTTTATTTTAAATCTTTCTAGAAGAAAATGCTCTTCTAGTAGCTTAGTCAGTACAATCCCGACCTGATTTGGGCCGAAGCCAGCCGCAGGACGAAAGCCCCCGCACACTCTTACGAGACTTAAAAAATGTTGCAACTCAAATCACTCCATATCGGACTCCGCTCCAAAATCTGAATCAACAACCGGAGCTCGCGAGAGCAATACCCGCAAGGGGTCAAACTCTCACACTCTTTTTTTCCTTTTCCTTCTAGCTCAAAAATCAGATTCCGAATGACTTCTTACATGGTGCAAGCACCGAGGTAAACTCTCCTCCCTCCTCCGAAAATTTTATAGACCTACAAAAAAACATCAAATTAAATCTTACCAATTCCAGGATTTTACTTTATCTTTAACTGAGAATCAAACGAATCAAAAACAAGAAAAATCTGACAATGAAGCCAAACATCTGTACTCAGAACGTAGGAAAGTAAAGCAGACCCCCCAACTAGCGCTGTTTCGCATTACGCTCTACTTTGATGGAACGTATCCCCCGCGTTAAGCGGGGTCTTACTGTAAGTGAAAAATATTCCCTGTCCCAACGAAACGTTTTCAAATATAGTCAATAAAATGTATTTAACATATAATGACGAGTTAACGATAATAAGTTTTATTTAATGAGGAAAAAAGAATGGTATCAAATTATTTTGTCGAAATTCTTTTCCACAGGTTTCGAAAAGAGAAATAAGCCACAGCTTCTAGGATCACAAATTGATTTAATACTGTTTTACGTTAGTTCACATTCTCCAGTTTTCCCTTTTGTTCACACATAGGGAATTCTAGACCATCTAAGATTTTTTTTTTCTTTCATTGTAAGAAATGCAGCACAGTTCTGTGCAGGAAAATCCCCCCTCAATCTATAAGGCTGTAGATGTTCTTAAGTCTCACATTACAAAAGAATTATCTAAATTTTCAAAAAGAATTGTTTTTGTTATCTTATAATTTAAAAGTGAATTTGGCAATAAATCTAGAGTCGGTTTTAAAAGGACTGCGTCATTCGATTCAGATTCCATATGATATACCAAAAATTCCTCTTCCAAATGAGGTAAACTAGCTCCATTTTTCACAAGGAAAAAAAATTGAAGATATTGAGGAACTTTCACATTGCACCTCATCTCAACTCAGATACTTCATTGCCGTCGTTTCTCACCAGGACTATGTACAGGGACTAGAATGGCTTGATAAGAAGGTAACTGTATCTTTGGTTACTGAAATCTTAACTTACATGATTCACTAACAGAATTTGGATATTTTATTTCAGTATAAATTATTATTATATTCACAGCAGTAAATTTGTTTTAGCAAAGTTAGCAATATAATTTCTAAGCAATGTTCGTCACTTGGTCATGGTTAATTTTCGGCTTGATTATATATAAAATGTGTTCATTATTCTTGTGACAAATATACTTTTAACGTTACTCCTTGTAACACAAAAACAAAATGATATACACTATTTCAATTAATCTTTATTATGGCACATACGCCACTCAAAGAAAATCCAGGAAATTTGTTAAATTCCACAAACGTTTAATCTATAAAAAAGAATTTGGTACGTCTCATTTCGTTTTATCTTGAAATGGAATTAAAATTTATATAGCAAGACTGTAAAAAAGATAAGTAAGAAAGATGAATACACGCTATTTTGGCGTATTTTTTCTTGTGTTTAATTTTCTTTATTTCTCTTTTTAGCTTCTTTTTCCAGGAGGATTTGGTCAGTGTTATAGAACAAATGCTTTTCGATGTGTGCCCAGGTCTTCTAATCGAAAGACATGTTCTCAGCAGTTCACAGTTGCAAGCACATTCGAAGCAAGTATTTTCCTATTCACCTATTCTTACCATGCGAGTCTTACTTCGGGATGGTGTGTATGGCACAGTTATTAACGAACAAACGAATGCTAAGGAAACTCTACTTTCTCTTTTGTTCTTCAGCACTCCTGAAGTATTGGCATCTAATCAACAACATGAACACCTAGAAACGCTTAACACACAAATTCGTATCCCGGTTTCAAGTTCCATGTTCCCGCATAGTCAAACAAGTCCACTGTTGCAGCGCCAAAATCAGCTACCGCACACAACAGCCGGTCGACGGAGATCTTTACCACAGCAGCAGACGCCTTTGCCTCGCAGTATGTCTCAGAGTTCCGCCTCTCAGTTGCTTCAGAATCGGTGCAGCAACCTCCAGGTGCTACGGTCAGATAGTTCACCAGCTCTACTTCAAGATCAAAATCCAGTAGTTACACTGGTTTCGGACTTGCATGCCTCGCAGTTGCCGCTGTTGTGCTGTCAGTGCTTTTGCGCTATCCTGGATCCTCAAGAATCAATGGGTAGAGATTGGTGCATGCTGGGTGTTCTCTTAGGAATGACGGACAAACTGCCAAAACTGGACCCGGGAGACAATCCAGCTTTTAGCCCCACTGCTTGCATTTTAGGAGAGTGGTTAAAGCGCCCAGATAGTACGGTAGGTCAACTGTTGATGAAACTGGAAGAGCTGGAGCGAAATGATGCAGTAGAAGCCTTAATGTCAACTTTGCCGCTGTTCAGAATCACGCCTTCAGGATTCCAAGATTTAAAAGATATTGAATCTCACACAATACACGAACAATCTGCCACTAGTCTCTAGCTTGTTTATATTTTTTCTTTGTATATTTATACTATATTGAGAACCTTTGTTTTTTTTTAACAAGATGGCAATTAATTTTTTACACTTATTTACCTTACCTTTCAACGTATTATATATTCGGTATTTTATAGTAATGCTGTTATCAAGAGATTCATAATAAGAATCCATATCAAAAACTCATTTAAGTTTTCTTATTGTCCTTTTCAAGAATGCTCAGTAGCTAATTCAGCTTACTGTTATCGCAAGCTTACCGAATATGCAAACACAATATTTATCATATAAATAAATGTTTAAAAACTTCAAATTTTGTTCTTTATTCTAATTTCTTTCATATTGTCTAAATCATGTTATTATAATATAAGAAACAGAAAAGTATAAGTCACATCTGGTTTAGTGTAATAGACAACAAATAAATCAGTGAATAAGAAATGCATTGATAAAAGGATGCAGAAAAGATGAAGATAAAAGTATGCAAATTATAAATTATTTCAAATTTTTCTCTGCTTTTTTCCAAAGATTTTTAATTAACTGTTCAAAGATTAGAACACACACACACACACACACACACAAAAAAAAAAAAAAAAGTGCATGAAAAACTAAGAATGATCAAGCAGCTAAAAGTATGCTGATTCCACATGTCATTATTAGACTCGACTGTGAATCCCAGGCATGGCATGGACTTTAGTGGCAAGACTGTAGTGCCTTTACAGAGGGCCATTAATATCTTTTGATCTGGAAGTCACATAGAAAGGCCTTTTTTATTCCGTCAAAACTTCCGATTTAAAATTACATATATCAATATATATTAAAGATTACGGTCAATATATAGTAAAGAATTCCTTGCTAAGAAAGAAGTATTCACAATTTTATTACCGTTAATGCTAGGGAAAACGAAATAGGGAAGTGATATTGCAATCGTTTCGTACTTTATTCTAAAGCAGGGGTTTTCAACCGGTGGTACGCAAAGAAGAAAAGTTTTTTAACTATTAAATTCAAAAATTAAAACCTCAACATTCTGATTGAGGTTTTTTTCTCTAACACTCGTAAATTTATGCGATCTGAGCTTTATTCAAGAGTGGTGGTGGTAGCAGAACTTTGTAGTGGCGGTACTAAAGGTTTTCAATTTTTGTTTAGATGGTACGCTTAGTCAAAAGGTTGAGAACCGTTGTTCTAAAGTATACTGTCCAAAACAAAGTTCCAAATATTATAATATTAATGCGGACTTTCCTTTCAATTGCTGTAAGTGTAATAGTTGTGAGAAAAGTTTTCTAAATAAAAATCATTTAAAAAGTATAAATATATATTTCACATTTAAGAAATCAGTTTCTAATACCGACATAAATTAATCCTTTGTTTAATACTACATATATTTTCAGTTAATAAGTAATTTAAGTGAAAGATATATATTTATATCGGAATGTATTTAAAGAAACTAATTTCGGTTGTTTTATATAAATCTAAATACGCATAACATTGTGAAGCAAATATGTATGCTTATGATCTTCGACATGCATGTGAATTTAAATTGTTCGATTCAGGGTGTAGGGTTTATATTTATTTTAACTAACATTTATTTTAAGTTTAAACTATCTTTCCTGTCAAGCCTTACTTTCCCCTGGAACTGCCAATGCCAGAATATGTAAATTTTAGTAGAACGCGCAAGGATTCAAATTATCAGCGGAAGTATTCTGATTTAAATAGAAGGAAACGAGTTCGGTGTGATATTCTTACTTAGCGAGCGCGGAGGTAGTTAGCGAGAATTGCAAGAACCCCGCGTTGCGGCCTATGTGCTTGGCGGGAAAGTAGTGTAATCGTTCCAGTGAGCTTCAAGTCTGCTGAATTAGCAGCGGTATTGTAAACGCGGTGAGTTAGTTATTTTAGAGAGCCTCGTAGTTAGAATCTTGTCTTTACTTTCTTTTCAGGTTATTATTTTTATTTGACTGCCAAGTTGGCACAGTCTGTGAGCGTCAAGAGCACGCATTGTAATTTATTACGTTGAATAAAAAGGGACTTAAACCCTTCACAAGGCTCTATCTTTTATACAAGTTTTCACAGTCACCTCTTGGTTGCGTGCAAGTTGGAGGCGCGCAACGTTATAAGGGAAAGCAAGCAAAGAGTGTAAGGAAACGGATGTTTTCGCGCAGGACTGGTTAAGGGAAACTGGTCATGTTTCATTATTAAAAAATAAATACAACACAAAAACTTTATTTCGCCTTCTTGTTTTAACAACGGGATCAATAACAGGGTTAAACTAATTACCAGAAGTTTATTCAACTGATAGCTTTAGCTGACAGAGAAATGACTCTCATCCATAATCGTTCTGTTTAATTTTTATGTGTACTAAACTTTTCAGCGACATTATTGAAAAAGAATCAGTCTTTTATTAAATGTAACACATATTTTCAATTAAATAGTAAAAAAGCATTATTTGCTTATCACTGAATGTACCTGCATGAGCTATTTTCCAAGGCTTCAGAGAAAAATAAAAGAAGCATAATTTTGCTAAGTGCCTGTGAATATTTTAGGCAGAAAGTTATGGTATTTGGATTATGATAAAGCAAACAAAGATGCTCCTGTGAAGGACTTTCTAAGGGAAACTCGCTTGTATTCACATCACACGTGGATAAAACCATAAAAAGGCTCAGCCAACCAGACCGTTCGCCGAGATTTTCAAACTATTAATGTTAGCAGTCTTACCCCTCCGACGCTGGTCAGCCTTCAATGCCCCTCACTCCCCCCCAAAAAAAGTAGGTTTATATTTCATTCGACATCATCCTGCATAATTATTGAGTGAACTTCAACTTTCAGTAATGATATTAGTTAAAAAATAGACTTTTAATCAATATAACGTATATTTTCAACATAGTATAGTGAAAATATATTATTGTTTCATTCAAGATATTGTTTCATTAGAAACTAACATAAAGTTAAATAAAAATAAATTATTCTCTTGCGTCATAGATACAAGGAATGAAATTTGAATTTAACAAACACCAAAAATATTATCTCAATCATATAAAGCTGTTTTAATTTTTAAAATTATGAAAATTTAATTGTAAACAAATAAAAGATTAAATATTGTTGCGGACTAATTTGCAGTATCATTCAAATTCAGAAAGCATATGTAAATTAAGTGTAAGCATCTTAATACATGAAAAAATATTTAATAATTATTAATGTTTAATAATTCAGAGATTAATCCTAAAAACTTTAAAGAATTTTTTAATACTAAATTATGTGAATAATTGTTCAGCAGGCAGGAGATAGATCTCTTCAAGGAGAAGTTGCCACCAAACCTAACTCTTCAATTACTCAATTCGTGTTTCGTCAACCATATAGGCATGGAATAATTATTAAATTTCTCAAAAGACTTTTAAATTTCTAATTTTGGCAGTTCACCAGGTTTTAATTTTGAATAATTCTTTATCCCTGCCTATATGGTTGACGAAACACGAATTGAGTAATTGAAGAGTTAGGTTTGGGGGCAACTTTCGCTTGAAGCGATCTGTCTTCTGCCTGCTCAACAATTATTTACTTAATAATGCAAAAGAATTTAGTCTTAAAAAATTCTTTAAAGTTTTTAGGATTAATCTATGGATTATTAAACATTATTAATTATTAAATATTTTTTCATGTATTAAGATGCTTAATTTACATATGCTTTCTAAATTTGAATGATATTGTAAATTAGTCCGCAGCAATATTTATATTTTATTTATTTACAATTAAATTTTCATAATTTAAAAAATTAAAATAGCTTTATATGAATGAGATAATGTTTTTGTATTTGTTAAATTCAAATTATTTATTACAAGTATATGCATGTGTATGAACTATTTTTCATAGCTTGACGTAGAAATAAGTAAACGTAATATTATTACCAAATGTATGACGATGACAGCTGCTGCCAGAAAAATAAGTTTTTTCTACAAGCGGATTGTTTATGCAACAAATATTTCAGACAAAAATAAATACGTGTAAATTTGCTAGGCAAGAGTATGAGCTGATTGCTTATTTAATTAAATGCGACGAAGCATCTAAGGGAAGAATGCATTCCTGAAGGATTTTCTAAAGGAAAATTGTTTGTATTTATGTTATATATAAGGAAAACCTATTCCAAATATAATCACTTTGTTGACTCTCAAAGGTGAAGCATTTTTATACCGAATTTTGCCCTTTTGGATAGTATATACTGTTTACAACTGAGCCATCCTTTGTAAGGCAACAGCTACTCATCAATACCAATATCTCTTTCGGGAACATAAAAATGTTTGAAATTTCTTATCCATGATGTTGAAAATATCAAGTATTTTCTTTAGTTTCAAGAATATATATTCTGTTCGGATTGCATATCAGATAAATTGTCATTAAAATGAAGAAATTTTATAACGATGTATGTTGTTTCTCCGACATAATTTTAGATATGAAAGGCATGTTGAGTTTTCACATTGCTGTCCGAAACCAGTCTAGCTTAGGCTTTAAGATGTTTTTTTAATAAGACCCAAAATATTTTAATTTCGCTTTCATCTGTGTTTGTCCACCTGACAGCAAGACGATAAACTAAGTCAAATTCGATACAAATACTGCCTGACATAATGACTGGTTTCATTCACTATACGCTCAATAAACTCAACATCTGCAATAAGTTTAAAATATTCCAAAGGATTTTCATCAGGTATCGATACATAGATTACTGGATCTCCTTGCAAAGGAAATCTTGAAGGACCTGGTAGAATGTATTGCATGTTTATACTTATTTGCAAAATTAAGAAGATTTGTGGATTATATCGAATTTCTGAAAAATTAATGGACAGATTTCAATAAAAATTCGGTATAAATTACATTTATAACAGAGAAAGAGATGTACTACTCAAAAGTTATGTATGCATGATTATCAGCAAAGCTGATGGATGTGCAGGGATGTCCATGTCTATGTTCTGATATCGAATTGAAAATGAGTCTATGTGAGGAGCGGTCCCCTCTCACAGCCAAACAGGTCGTGCAGCATGAGGACATACTGGACAGGAGGCAGCTGAAGAGTCCCTATGGCAGTTGATGTCTCTCCTGCAGCAAAGCAGTTTCTAACTCTGGGATGGTTCTCGCAGGGTGATGGAGAGATGAAATTGCCCTCCGAAGAGCCTCCCAGACAAGTTCTACAAGGTTAAGTTCAGGAGAACTGACTGGTCAATCCATGCGAAGAATAGCCTCACTTTCCAGGTAATCGTCGACTAGCTGAGCTCTATGTATTATTAAGGATTTCCAACGAATTAACATTTTATAAATCTACATTAAAATGTCAAAATG